AGACAAAAATAATCATTTTAACTAAAGTTTTTGCCAACAATTTTAATGAATTCTATTATAACAATCATCATCACAAGTTTTTTTATTCATTTATAAAAGATTCTTCCTTATAATTGCCTATTACTGTCAATTATTATATACTGTACAAAAGAGGAAACATTATTTATATGTAATCATCTGGGATATTTTAAAAATAAAACATAAAATTCATATAAAAACTAATCGGTTTGTATTCAAATCTTAAACATGATAGAAGTATAATAGCCTTATGAGTCATTCTATCACTGGCCGAAGGCCACGGCAGCAAAGGTGATCTGTTGCTTGAAGAGGCTTAATTTGAGTCCTTATGAATTTATTGTTACTTTTATTATTAATAATAATAAAAAATAACAATAAATTATTAAAATATCTTAACTAGATATGTTGGATCTCATTCTTTAATACTATTCCTCATATGATGGCTTTGATCAATTTGCCATCAGATGAGGAAGCCTTAATGAGCATGAAATATTACCCTTAAAAAAGTACTGTACTGTACATCAATTATTGTTGTTACTACAATTTTAGGAGTTTATCTGTAATATATAAAACATTTAAAAATTCAGTATATGTAAAGAATTTATTTTTTAAAGACATAAAAGTAATTAAAAAATTCATCTATATATATAACAAACATTCCAAAATTTCTAATATATTATAAATATTAACAATTATTAAATATCATAGATAAATGTATTTATTTTTCTTCCCCACTGAATTTTAAGCATATATAATTATAAAATTTTACAATTGTGTTTACAATCAGGCCCACATAGAGGAAATCCTGCAGGTCATTTAATCAAGTTTCCAGATACAGAAAAATCTCAAAATTTAGTATTTTTTTTTTTTACACAAAATAAAACACACACACACACACACACACACAGTCTGAAGTGATATAAATTGAAATACTTTTTATAAATAGTGAAAAAGTTTTTATTTTATTTATACATTAAGGTTTGTAGAGAGAGCCAAACGCCTATATTTACAAAGTGTCCTCGCATCCCACAGTCACTGTTTATAACACATATATCACATAAGTTATTTTATTGTGTAATATTATAGCTTTCGGAAAAGGCTCCATATCCGCCAAGTCTCTCGGATCACCATTTATGTATTATAAATTGGGCCTCTTTCACTTCCTATTTATTATAAACAGTGAAAATATTCTACAAATTAAAAATATGCAAAGATATTTGTGTATTTTTAATTTATTGTATGTACTTTTATGTATAATGTTCAAGTTATGAATAAGAGGAATATTCAATGTAGATTTTATAAATGAATTTTACATTTTAATTTGAAATTTCCTGGTTAAGTATGTCAATAATGTTTCCTCTTTCATAGAATTAGTCATTAGTTGTTAATAGAAGAATAAATTATTCAATACTTTATTACATTTAGAAAGCGTGAGTGATATTAAACCTGATATACGAACAAAACTGACAAGTCATTAAAAATATATAAATAAAAAAAGTCGAATTCGGGTCAATACAAATTAACTACAATATGTTACCATGTTATTACTATGACAACACGTTATAAACAAACCATCATCTAACAATCGATCTTATAGGATAAAATTCAAATTTAAAAAAATTGCACGAAGATTATTAACGAGCGAAACCTTTTTTAAAAATTTTTTCTAAATAAAGTATTTATATACCTGACCCTATTATTCCATTAACCTGTAATAGAACACCGGTTTCTTTTTTGTCCTATGCGCTTGACGACATGTCAACGTTCTGAATAGCCGACGGAAGAAACCGTTCATAAACGTTGTTATTATTATTATTACTGTATTTTTTTTTTTTAAGTTTTTTTTATATTTTAAATATTAAAATAGTTTTGATGTATATTTATATCGATTTTTTAAATCGGATAAATATTTTATGTATATAAATATCTTTTATGCAAATTTTAACGTATGATAAATTTTAATTACCTAGCGTTTTTTCCCCCGGGAGTTAAATATTTTAATTATTTATTTGCTTCCAGATATAATTTATAATTATCTGATCGTTTAAATAAATAAATAATTCAAAAGTTATTGCGCAATAAAGATAACGTTAGAATGCGTTATTTATACGGTGTTTTTTTTTTCTTCTTCTTTTTAACTCTTTCCGCCCTGTGGGCACTAAAAGGGCCTCTTTTTAGCAAGCCCATAATGGGGCGGCCGGGTTGATGACGAACGGGGCCCGACATATCCGGACGGACATCCCCACGAAAATTTCCTGGGGATTTATCGACCCGTCCGGATTCAAAGCAGGGTCCCCCAGAGCGGTAGGCTGACATCCGGCCGTCTAATACGATGTGTATTACGCGTAGAATGATTTAATTAGTGAAACAATACTTCAGTTAAACTAGTCAATTAGAATACTTTTAATCAAATTCCTAGATATTATTATTATTTTTGTTTAATCTGATTTTGATTTTCAAGGAATCTAATCTGTACTCGAACCCGGGTCCTTCACAGCGGTAGAAAGATGTCTTATTTATTCATCTATCTTTCTATCTATACATTTTAAAAATCTTTCTACTTTGGGAACTAAGAAGGTCTTTTTAACAATTTTACATGCCCACGATGGGGACAGAACCTGTCATATCCGAATGTCCTCCAAGAAATTCCTGAAATTCTTTTCGACCTATCCGGATTACATTCCAGGCTCCCACAGCTGTAGGCTGTAATTTGAACCCCTTGACCAACCGGCCGTCTTTCCGGTTACAGTATAAATAATTTATATGTATATATTGATTTTATGTAAATAAGGAAGATTTATACAGCTGTATTGATTTTAATGTTCTTCAAAACAATCCCTGATTTATTTTACATTCTAACATTGACAGACTAAAAATCGGGTCGTCGAACAAATAAACTAATGACGAAAGTTAAATTAATTGTTTCATCGAATAAATCTAGCTTGTAATTTTAAAATGCCGGCCTATCGCACTGAAGAAACTCAAACCCGAGTTTCTTCAGTGCGGTAATGATTTGGCTAAAAAGTTATAAGGGTGAGTTAACCCGAATATATCGGACCTGTTCAAAGCCACGCAACTACTTTTCATTGCCCAGGCCCATAATGAAAAGTGGTAGAGTGTAAAGGCCTTCTTAATACACACAGAGTGCCGGCCTGTTGGTCCCAGTTGTTAAGGCGTTGCTCTGGGATCCGGGATTATATCAAGGCGGTTGAAAAAAACCCAGTAATTTTGCTGGATGGTCTGTTCCAGATATGTCGGGCTCTGTCCTCATCTCCTTGTAAGCTTGGCTAAACTCACAATGGGCTTGGAAAAAGAGTGAAGAGTCCAAAAATACATATACACAGAGTGGAAAGAATTAAAATTAAAAAAAATAATATGATTAAACTTTATTATTTCTAGACTATTGTTTTCTCAATTTAACCAAATAAAATCCGATTTATGCAAATACTCGAGTTTCCTTAGTTACATTAAAACACATTCTCACGCAAGTCAGGAAAATATTGCATAAATGGTATTTTCGTGACTTGATGTGAATATCCATTGTTTGTTTTACTGTAAACGTTAAAAAGTAATATAATTTTAATATTGGAAGAGAAATAATTTAACTGTAAATATAATTACTGTATTAATGTTTTGATTAATTAATTAATTTTGATTATTAATCATTTAAGTAATTATTTTCCTCTCTGACGGCACTAAGTGGGCCTGTTTTAGCAAACTAATTTTAGGTTCACAATTAGGCAGCCGGGTGGTAATAAGCGGGATAATCCTGAAAAATTCTTGGGGTTTTTCAGTCGTATTCGTTAGGATTCGGGTCCTCCAGAGCGATAGGCTGACACCTTAACTGTTTGGCCATCCATCTTCAATTATTAATGTTAGGCCAGATGGCCGAGAGGTCAAGGTGCAGCCTGCCGCTAAGAGGAAGCAGGAATAGCAATCGAACCGATCAGGTTAAAAAAATTTCAGGGATTTTTCAGACGGTGGTCCGTCCGGATATGTCGGGTCCCGTCTCTCCCTGCCCATCCACTCCATTATGGGCCTGGCCAAACTCATAATAGGGATGCTAAAAGAGGCCCTCTTAGTGCCCATAAGGCGGAAAAAGTTTAAAAAATTATATTATTATAGTTAAAATGAAAATTATTAATATTAACTAAATAAAATTATTTCTCACAAAAAGAAGCAGATTAGGAAAAAGAAAAATTCATTTTTAATGAAGAACTTTCATAAATTTTTCAATATAAAAAATATATATATATATAAACATCGATCCATTTGTATAAAAGTGATCATAATATTAATATTAATTAATAAAAATAAATATTTATATATATTTTTTAAGTTAATGAAAGTATACCTAAAACAAACTAAGTATTTCTTACGGTATTATTTTAATACAGTACAGTAGAGCATCGTTTATCTGAATCAATTAGGGACTGGGGTTGTTCGGAAAATCGATATTTCGGATAACCGATCACGTACGAAAAAATATATTAATTTATCCCATGTTGAAATTTTTCTCCGTTGCGTGTCGCTTCGCGTTGAATTTTCGTCGATGTTAAGCCTAACGAAGACTATTGTATCGTTAAAAATTATTTTTTTATTTTGTACAAACAAAATAAATATATTGAAAAATATAAAAACAATAAAAAATTATACTTCAGATGTTAATTTAGTATCAAAAACGTAAAATATTTGAGTAGCCCAAGACATAGCCAAAGATTGCAGCACCACAGCACTGGAGAAAATTTAAATTTATCTACTGAAATTCTTTCGGATAATTGACTTTCGGATAATCGACGCTCTTCTGTATTGATATATAATACAGTAAAAGTCAGAAAAAGCTTTCGAAATTTTTAATTCAGTGTTAGAAAATTAAGGTCTGAAACTTGAATTATTAGCTAATAACTAATAATAGAATTATATTAGGTTATTATGTAATATTTAGTATTTTTCATTTTTAGTACTAATTTTTCACCAGAAAAACTATGGTATTCGCTCTAAATTTTGTTTGAATCTCATATAGGCCAGTGATAGAGCAATCTTTTTCGGATGAGAGCCTCAAGGGAACTTCGCAAGCTTCCGGCAGACCGCATACATTTTTTTCTTATGGTGTTGCGAGCTTACTGAGTAACAATATAATCCATAAACGAAGATTATGGAACATAATACAAAAAAATCGGTTCATGTATGATTTTTTTTATTTATTGATATCGGTAAATGAATTATTTAACGATGTATTTTAGGACATGCCCCAAAAATAAGGTTACAATTTTTTATAACAACTTACATTAAAAAATTAAATTAGCCATTTAAAAGGGCACAGTCTAAGCTATTTTTCTACATAATCGCCATTCTTTTCGAAACATTTCCTGGAAAGACAAGGGCAAAAATTCCTTTCCGAAAAATTCTTCACTTGACGATTTGTACAAGTCCATGACTGCGTCTTTAACTTCATTATCTGAGAAGTGTAAGGCGTTAATATGCTTCTTAAATGGTCCAAAAAGGAAAATGGAATGTGTGCATATCCGTGGAATATCCGTTACTTTCAAGGCCTGTTTTGGACGTTAGTCGTCTGCGTGCTACAGATATTTGGCTACCTCTATCAATGCTAATCGAGAGTAAATTCATAATCTAATCCAACCCATCATAGCGTACTAGTATGTTTATGACAGTTTGATATAGTTGACGGAAAAGTACATAAAAATATTTGATATACTATACATTTATTTTAGTTTTATTCAAATCAAGCGCTCTGTAGATAACAGGTGCCTTTGATTGTTGGTTGGTTGGTAGTGATCTGACCAGATCATCACCAACCAACCAATAATTGGGATCGAATTCGGACGGGTCGAAAAATTCCCAGGAATTTTTTCGGGGGATGATCCGACCAGATATGCAGCTCATCAGTGGCCAAGCGGTCTTCGTACACTGGAGACTGGGAGTTCGGTCGTGGGTTCGCGCCTGCTCGGACAGGCTGGCCACATGGGATTTCTCCACGTCTGTAATGCCTAAATAGAGGCCAGTTTCCCTTAAAAAGACCTCCCGGAAGGCATTATCTTAGGCAGATCGCCCAAGTGTTGCGTTGCCATAACTTAACAAACAAACAAACAAACCGACCGGATATGTCGGTCCCCGTCCATCACTAACCTGCTGCCCATTGTGGGTCTGGCCAAACTCATAATAGGCTTGCTATAAGAGGCCCTCTTAGTACCCACAAGGCGAAAAAAGTTAAAAACCTGTTTTCCTATCGGTCCTTCATACTTTTTTAGCCATAAAGTCTAACGTGCAGTATGGGGTATTGCATTATCGTGAAGCATACGTATTTCACCACTTTGTGCATAATCTGAACTTAGAACACTTCTACCCTTTTGAGTTTTGACCTCTTAATTAAGAAACATCTTGGTGGCTTGCACTTCTCAGAAGATAATAAAATTAAAAATGCATTCATAGAGTTATTCAATTATTAAGTGAAGAATTTCAGAAAAAAGTTTTGCCATTGTCTACCGCCGGAAAAGCGTTTAGAAAAGAATGGCGACTAAGTAGAAAAATAACTTGGACTTTTTTTTTACTCTTTCCGCCCTGTCGGCACTAAGACAGTCTGTTTCAAGCAAACCCATTATGGGTTCGACCAAGCTTATAATGGGAGGCGGGTGGTGAAGGACGGGGCCCGACATATTCGGATGGTTCACTCCACCCGAAAAATTCCTGGGGATTTTTCAACCCAGTTCGGATTTGATCCTGGGTCCCCCAGAGCAGTAGGCTGTCATCTTGACTGCTCGGCCATTCGGCTGTGGATTATATTCTTTCAAACGGCTAATTTAATTTTTTAATGTAATTTGTTATTGAGTTGTTATAAGAGATTGCATCTTACTTTTAGGATATGCTTCGTATAATTTAATTATATGAATTTTTATTATATATTTACATATATTATTTTTAAATTTATGAAAATTGGTGGCAACACTAATCTGAAATGTAAACACGTGTATTTGAAAGACACGTGGAATTTGTCGAAGATATAAAAGGTGTTATTGCACATTATTATGCTTTTTATTTTCCGAATGAATATTAAAATATATGATTGCTATAATTAGTGTAACACATTTTGTTTATTTATTTTTTCGTATGAGAATTTTAAGAATATATAATTTATTATTTTTTTTTTAAATTAGAATTTAATTATTTTTAATCGGTGAAATAATTAAAATGCTTTTATAAATAATTCTTAAGGTATTAAGAAGTATATTCTTGGTATTCGTTTTAAAATTTTGTTTCAAATTATTTTTATTTTCAGTTTATAAAGATTTACATACTATTTAGGTTACAATTTCTGTTTCCTATTTGTGAATAAGATAAAACTTATTTGGCTTTCTAGATTGAACATTCTCTTTCATTTTTTTATAGCTGCTTGGAAAAAACTACTCAGAATAGGAAATTTTCATGGATGTGAAAACTGCAGTACTATATTTTAATTTTTTATCATTAAATTCATAATTTGTTTTGCATTAAATTGTCATGACTTGAACAAACAAATTATTTGACAAAAGCAACACTTGTATTACAAATAATTTCTTTATACCTGAATTAAATTACACTCAAACACTCATTTAAGTTTGCATATTCAACAGTATTCATAATGAATTGACAGTTATGATTACAGACTATGCTATCTGACAATCCACATGCACAGAAGTATTTCATTTACTGTGCAGTTGTGCAAACAATGCAGCTTATTAGATCAGGAATCTATTAGTGTCAAACAATGCACTGTATCAGGATTAGATATTCTGTAAATAAGAATAGAAATATTAGATTTTCAGAAAATTATGGATCCATATTTCTGAATTTACCAGTCAAATTGTAATGAGAAAACAGTAATAATAGTTAATTAAATTGATAGAAAAAATGATTTACAAGTGATCAATATTATAATTAATAATCAAATGAACTGGATTAACTATCAAGCAATAATTATCATTTTTTTAGCTCATATTTTTTTTATATATTGTTATGGATTTTATTGTTATGTGGGAATGGAAATCTTTAGTCTTGATCAGACATGTAATTAAATAATGACAATGTAATTAAAATAAATACACTTTTCTAATTAATTATTTATATAGGTGTTATATATTTTGGAGTTTTTTAGAATAGTCAAAATTAATTAGTTTAGTTCTGAAATTAGTAATTATTAAATTTAATTTGAGATGGCAACATAATATCTACCATTAGTCCAAATTATATATCTAAGTATATTTTTTTGTGTATTTCTATAATATCTAAGTAATTAATTAGTCATATTCTAGCCTGATAGTTAGTCTAGCTCATTTGATTATTAATATAATTTTGGCTGTTTTGTTGTTTTATATATAATTATGTAATTAATTGAATGATATAATAAAAATATATTAGAATTAATTGCAATGTTGTTGCTAATGTTTCTGAAAAAGAGAAAACTCTTTTGAAATATCATCTAATTGCATGTTTATTTTGTCACAGGACATTGGATTAAATCTTCAAAAAAAGATCAATCATTTATGAATGCAAATTTGATAGGCTCAAAAAATAAATAAATAAAAATAGAGTACTGTATCTTACACTATTGCAAAACTTTTAACATGAACTAAAGAAATGAAAATAAATAAAAATTACTGATTTCTTTATAGAAAAATAATATTTTTTATTTTATTTTTTCTTTTGCTTTTTGCTTGTATATATGTTTATGTAATTATTAAGTCAGTTATTGTAACCATACATACCAGAAAAATTTTTATTAACTACTTCAAATCCCAGTATGCATTTTGGCCTTTACAATGGCCCTCATTAGCTTGTTTGTGATTTTTCTTAAGAACTTAACAATAGTTATTTGGACATTTTTTATTCCATTTACTATAGGATATAATTATTTTGCTAACAATTAACATTAACAGATGTAAAAGAATAAGTTATGAACACTCAAAATACCTATAAGAACATACTGTTATATAAAAATTATTTTTACCATCTTCACTTTTTAATTCAACTTGCTTTCTTTTTTATCATTTTTGCATGCATATCCACCTATCACTTTTTCATCTCTTCTTTTTGGACTGCAATTTGAAAAAATTGTAGGTCTATAAATTTCCACTGTCATCTGTCTGTCTTAATCTCAAGAAGTTTTTGTATATAGTTAATCAGGATTAACTATATATGAACTTCTGATGCAAATCAGAAGTCATGTTATTTCAATTCAAAACTTTTCTCCTGAAAGCAGTTAATAGATGACTTGCATGACTATTGGTAAAGGAAAAGTATGATGTAGAGGGGCAAGACACTGTTAATTTGAAGGTGGAGAATCTATATTTTAAATTAAATAAATTTAAAATATGATTAAAAATTGCAGCCCAACATTGTGATGATGTCACAATAAATAATTATTTGTTAATTCTTTTTTCACTCCAATAAAACCACATTCACTTTTTCCACACAAATACTTCTCCAATTTTAGACCTTTTCATCATTTTACCAACAAATAACTCCCTGCATTGAATAGTCACCTGACCTTGGCTATATCTGTTCTGTATTCAGTTCTGTATATTTAAATAATTGTACTATGACTTCTCACCTTCTCTTCCATTACCATCATTTATTTTTTTACCCTTTGTTTTCTTTATCTATATGATCAATTGTGCCAAAGTTGTTGCATATGTATACATGAAAATTGTTTTATAATTTTAATAGTTTTAAGCCTCAAAATTTAAAACAGCTAAGGCAAAAATGCACATTCAATAAAGATCTTTATCCTGTTTAAAAAGTTAGTTTTTTAATGTGTGTAGTGATAAAAAAAAATGATTTGTTAACCTTGTAAAGTTCATTTTTCCTTTGCTTGAAATATGCTAGTGTTAAAACTTAAGTTGGCTAAGTGCCATAGAGGTCTGGTGTCTCCCATTGGCACAGCAATGAGTGACCAGCAGTGTAGTTATATCTTCTAAATTAATTGATCTGAAAATGAAAATTGGATGGAAGTCTTGGTAGTACAATTAATAGTTTTTAAAATATATAATTAATTGGGCTACAATTTGAAAAAATTATAGACCTATAAATTCCCACTGTCGTCTGTCTCTGTCTGTCTGTCCTTCTGTCTCTGTCTGTCTGTCTGTCTGTTAATCTCGAGTATGGAAGGAAGGAAGGACAGGAGACTCCAATTAACTACAGTGAGTGATTGGTTAAGGAACAGTTCAGACTATAAACAAATTGGACAACAAACACTTTCGTAAAAGATTTTTATGTTCAGACAACAAACACAAGAAGTGACGCTGCATTTAAGATCTGTAAAACTGTATTTTAATGGCCTCTATGAATGGTTTATGGAACAAGACTTTCACAGTTGTATACATAACCGTTTTTGCACTAGTTGATTTCTGTTCTCTGAATTTTTGTAAGTGCTTTTCTGAACTTTTTATTTAAAAAACTGATATTATGGGGCCTAAAAAGAGTGGAGTGTCAAGAACTGTCTTCACTATAGAAACTAAGCAAGACATAATAGCCAAGGTAGAGAGTAGGTAGATGTCTGATGCTGTAGGCAGAATGACTTCAATAGATCTACAGTAGATACGATCTTAGGTAAGAAAGATATAATCAAAAAAGACTCAAGCAGATAAAGGAGTAACGAAAATTGCATCTGAGAAACAAAGATGTGCCATCCATGAAAAAATGAAGAGATTGCTTTCAGTTTGTTATTACATGTAAATAAACATGGTAAGAAAGTATATAAGTATTTATTTATTTTTTGGGGTCTCCAGAATGAATTAATCAAATTCTCACAAAATCTATAGTAAATTGATAATTGGTTAACAAACAATTTGGATAGTGAAGATGGTTTTGGAATGGATTATGTTCGTTAACTGATCACCCACTGTATATAAGAACTTCCGATAAAGTTCAGAAGTCATGTTATTTCAATTTGAAAACTTCTCCTGAAAGGAGTTAAATAGATGACTGGCATGACTCTATTGCTAACAGGAAATGTATGATGTATAGTGGCAAAACACTACTAATTTGAAGATGGAGAGCATATAGTTTAAATTAAATAAATTAAAAATTGCAGTCCATGATTTGTGATGTCACAATAACTACTTGCTCATTTTTTTTCTTTTATTTTAGAATGGCACATGTAACATTGTCTAATTTTGAAGAATTACTACCAGTTATCGAAAAGTCAATCAAAGAAGCTTCTTTTATTAGTAAGTACCTTTTTAATTTCATTGCAATTTAATTTACATATAATTATTGAAATATTATGCAATTGATGTATGCTAAAAATGAGAAATTAATCTTAAAGAAAAAATGCGATATTTTCAAGGAACGTATCTACCGCGTTGTAGGAAGCCTACCTGTATATTCAACTTTATTGAATCATAACTTTATAAATTAATATGGTTTTGGTTTAGTATAATATTTTTTTTGAATTTTCTCTTTGTGGATTGAAATATATTTAAGTTTCTGACATTCATCTTTCAGACTAATTACTTTCCTGGCCATGGGCGTAGCCAGGAAGGGGCATGGGTGGGCACAGCCCCCCAATTAACCTGGTGCCCTCCCCAGAAAATCACAGCTTAAAAAGTGTTGAGCTGATTTGCAAAAAGAAATAAAAAGTTGAAGCTAATTTAATTGGGTGTAGTGTACCACGGCCCACAATTAATCTCTGAATATTGGACTGAACTTCAAATAATTGGTTGAATGGATCCGCGATAATTCTCTAGAACCTGACAATGTGAAGTTATAGGAAAATTGAGAAATTCTGATCCTAAAAAAAAAGTCAACGGGGCTTTCTGTGCCCAATGTGCAAAGTGTATCTGTAATCTCTATGTACAGTTTAGTCTCTACGGAAAAAACTGTTGGCCACCCCTGGTCTATATCTAGATTAAAGATGGTGAACTATATTAAAGAATGGTAAAAAAAAAAAATAATTGATTGGTTAATTTTTGTTTAAGGCATTGCTAGAGTTTGATATTAATGTTACGAGAATGTATGATTAAAGGAAGTTTCATATTTTGTGTGTTAAGTTATTGTCGATTCTTATGGAAATTTCATTTTAATGAACAATAATTTGAAATAATTCAATTTTGTGTCAGGTTGGCCTCTACTAGGCACCCCCATAACAAAACTCTGGCTGCGCCCATGTTCCTGGCTCTGTTATACATAATAGAGGAAAGTATGGCAATCAGTCAAAACAATGACCTCTCAAGATTTTTACATTTTTGAATCCGGGACCTTGAAATTTCGAGAAATGCAAAAAAATTCAAGGTTTTTTTTCTGTATGTATGGATGTTAGTGTTTGTGTGTGCATGGGAAGCACGATTTTGTTCACTCTCTTTGAAACTTAATAACTCCTGTGCTTTTTGCTGAAAATTTCTGAAATTTTGCAGGTATTTTGTTTGCACTTGACGAAAAAAATACTGTAGTAAACAAAGTGAAGAGATAAACTGACTCATTCACACTTATTGCTAATTCACATAATATATAAATTAATAATTACTTTTACAGTAAATTAATAATTCAAGTTGGTAGATATGAAGTTTTATCTACAATATGTGAACTATTAATTTACTGTAAGAGGATATAAAAGTATTTATTAATAAAAATTTAATCAAATTTTGAATTAAAATATTTTTCAGTTTAATAGTTGAAAATTTTATTCAATTTTTTTTTTACCTTAGGTTTTGATACAGAATTTACAGGATTATATGCTACTCCTGACTTAAAACCTAGGTAAATATTAAATTTTAGAATAATAATTGAATAAATGAATACACTGTTCCATTTTTTTTTATTAAAGTATTAAAAGTAATATTTTTGTATTTCAGTTTATTTGACACCATTGATAAGAGATACTTGAAACTGTATTCAAGTGTTACTCAGTTTGCACCATGTCAGTTTGGTAAGGAATAATAATATAAATTAAACTTCCGTGGTTCATTTAATTTTAAGTAATAAATTGTTAAATTATCAATAATTTTAAACATATACATTCTTAATAATAATATTAAAGTAAAAAGACATTTAATTATATATAATACACAATACACCTAAATTTTCTAAGGACTTTCAGTCTTCTGGATATTCTGATATACTTGTATGTATATTGTATAATATTTTTAAATAAAATTGTAATCTTCTGAAATTTGAAGTTGTTTATTTTATATAAGTTGAGTGAGAATTATACATAGTTCTAAAGAATCTCAATCTTATTGTATAGTTCACAACAATTCTTCAGGCTGGAGTGTATGTATATAGTACTAAAACATCTTACAGAACCAAAAATCTCCAGTAAGAAATCATGGACAGGACTAATGTTTTTCGATCCTTTCTATGGATCATCTTCAGGTCAAAGGTTTTGAATCTGAATGCTTTTCAAATATTATTGCATTTTTGAATCTGTTCTATTTCTTAGAATGTGCATTTATAATGTTAAATTTGGTTTGAGACATCAATGGCATAAAAATAAAAACAATAATAATTAATTATATGCACAAAAGAAAGAGAACAGTATTAATTTCAAACGTGAGAAACTATTGTCATAGAAAGACATTACATTAAAACTGCAACCTAATGCAATTATAATAAACCTTAAAGCAAAATTATTTGAAGAATATTTCATAAAAAATACTTTTGGAAATTTATTTAGGAACATTTAGTGTGTGTTATCAATTATTATTATTTTTATTTTTATGCTAGCAATGCCTCACATCAAATTTAAAATCATAAATGCATTCAAAAATGCAATGATATTTGAAATGCATCGATTGCAACAATATTCAAAAAGCATTCTTATTCAAAACTTTTGACCTGAAGAAGATTGTGGAAAGGATTGAAAATATTAGTCCTGTCTGTGATTATGTATTGGAGTTGATTTGGTTCTGAAAGGTGTTTTAATACTGTATTTTATTGTATAGACATGAAGATTGTATTATATAGTCTTTATGTTCATTATACAATAATAATATAAATATAAAATAAGTTGATGATATAATAGTAATATTAAAATTAGTTTTCAATGTTTAATAGGTTTGACCCTATTCTGTAATGAAAAAGAAGAAAATAAGTAAGTAGAAATTGTATAAAAATTTACATGAAATGCATGATATTCTTGTATGTGAACAAGCCTTTATAAGTCTAAATGTCCAACTGGAATGAGCAATTAAGATCATATACTTAACAGTTTTTAATTTCCAGCAAAATCATTTTATTTTAACTAATGTTTTTGGCCTATTTAACAGGCCATCTTCAGATTACAGTTCTAAATTATAAGATGATCATATATTCAATACTGGAAAAGGTTCAAAGATGTTAACATGCTTAAAGATTTAAAAGTAAGGTTAAGTGTTGTATGTGTTGCAAACAATTCAACCAGCATTTGTGAGTAATTGTGACTTACAGAAGAAATGCTGGCTAGAACATATAGAAAACTTGTATTAGCCTTAAAGATTTAAACATGATTTTTTAACCTTGTTCCATTTTAAAATATATTTTATCAATCATGTAATTTACATCTGTAACCTGAAGATGGCCTATTAACTAGGTTGAAAACATTAGTTAAAATAAAACAATTTTTCTGGAAATTAAAAGGTGTTAAGTATATGACTTAAGCCTTTATAACAAATTCTTCAATTTTGCTTTTTATTTAAAAACATACATAATATTTAACATTCTCAATAATTTGAATATTTCAACTATGCTAATTAAGGGTATGAACATAGTTGAAATACTCATTTAGTTAAAAATGCATAATTCAAATAAAAACAAAAATAATTTGGAATTTTATTATTATGTCTTTCTCACTTCATGGGAACAGAATTAAATACAAGTGGAGATGACATTTCTTCATAAATTCTTTTTTTGCTAAAATTATATAAAATCATTTTTAAAGTATTTATATGAGAAGGATGTACTAAGAAAATTCTAAATTATATTTTTGTGTTTGTATTTAAATTGTATAAACTTTTAGGCATTTGATGCTGTTTTGTAATGTATGTACATACATAATAGTAATTTATCCCAAGTTTCTTAAATTTGAATTAATGTCCTGAACTGTATTATGAATTCAAACTTTTTAGAAACTTCGTATCATATTTGAAACTAACTTTACATATTAATTTATTACGAATTGATAAACCTGATAAAAGTAGTTTATTTAATGATTAAAAACTACTGTTTGATATTCTTTGTATTGTGAGAATATGGGCGAGGGTTAGCTCTCTAATTGTCGAGTCGTGAGACCCTCTCACTTTGTTGGTGGATGGTAAAAGTTTTAAATTGCTGTTAGGATTGTATGATCCTTCTGACGTTAGGACCTGACACCAGCTAGGGTAGGAATTTGCATCCTAACTTGTGATATTAAGATCTATATTTAAAAGGAGGGCAGTATTTTTATTGAGTGGGGAAGTCATGGGTTAGTTCCAATTGTAGGCAGTCCGGATATCCCATTCAGACTGCCTACAATTGTATTTGACCATATTTGACATCTGTATTCAACCAAGTGAACAGACAAGTTAACAGATAACAAACAAGAGTTTAATGAATAAAATAAAGAATACACAAGGAAATAATCTATTGTAAATCAATGCCTAACTATGTACACCAACTAAACACAGAGTGTTTACAAAAGGTTCTAATTATAATACCTCTGGGTTAGTTGATTTGTTTCTGTTGATGTAATCCAAATGATATGTGGAGATGTCTTTCTGATATGGAGACAGAGGAGGGCTGTATAGTAGCAAGATGTGACTTCAATGCCTGACCACTTCGGCTATGTGGGAATTTTCTTATGGTTGTTCTCTTCTATGGATGTCATTTCTTCCTCGGGTTGTTTCCCTCTACGGCAGTCCTGGATTAGCATCAACTGCTGCCCCTATATGACAGTTGGTGGGCTTATTTCAGCTGCCCCAAGAATACGATTTCTCTTCCTTTTATCCTAAATTCCTCTCCAATCAGGTTTTTGTATTTGTAACATATGATGGGATATTATTTCTGATATTATGTGATAACATCTCTTCCAAGGAAAGTTCTACTTCCTTTTCCCACGAAAACTGACAAAATGTGTGATTTTTGATGTTAAAATGTTACTTTTAAATTACTGATTAATTGAATAGACTTTTAACTGATTATTTAAAATTATTCTCTATTCTCGAATTCTCACAGTATTTACTAGAATATCAAGCAAAAAATAAATCAGGTATCTTATACACATATATTACAATACAAGTAATAAGTTTTAATCTTGATTATCATTAGTAATATTTATTTTTTATTTCTCATAGATACAGAGCACAGACATTCGTCTTTTATATCCGATCACATTCAGTTTGCTCAATTGATCATTGTTTTTCTTTCCAAGTAAGTATGTTGAGGAAATTAAATTCTAAAGTTTTGAAAAAATTGAAAGTCCAATTTCTTTGTTGTGTTTATCAAAACCAGAACAATTGCTGGAAAAAAAACCAGCAATGAGTTGCATAACTTTCCTGGCTGCTATAAGATTTCATTAAAAATATAACTTTTATATTAATAATAATTAAATTGTACTTGGTGCCATCTGTTATGAGATTTTCTTATAAAAGTTTTTTTATATTAATTATTGTGAAATGGCAAAAAGCTTAATTTTGAGGATAGGGATGAGTTTTATAAAAAATTGTAAATGCTAATAATGAGTGAAACCATCATTAAGTTTAACCCTACTTGAGATATGACACAACCCCACATTTATCTCCCTACTCCCTCAACCTTTAACCACCAAAATTCTATAGCATCAATGCTCCTTATACACAAATTACCATGCAAAATTTTGTTTCTTAATCTTTACCTTGTCCTAATATATTAAACTAAATACAACAAACACACATTTTGGGTAACAGTTTTTTGGCTTTTTTGGGATCAAAGGTGTTAAGACATTACAATTCCAAGAATGTGCAGGGTCAAATTATTATAATATAACAGTTGAGAATGTAATCCATGTTATGTTAAAACAGAATAGAATGTTCCTAGAATATTGTTTGCCTGGATTCAATTCCAGGTCCCTCAGAGTATTAGGATAATGTCTTAACTAGGGTTTCTCATTTCCAGGACTTTTGCTTGTCCTGGGATTTTGAGACAAAAGTGATTTTGGTTCCCAAGATAATTAATTATTTATAAGATATAAGAAGTCTTGAAATTGAATGATATAATTATTTTTCATTTTTAAGTAATTTAATATGTCTTACAACCTTCAAATTAATAATAATAATAATAATGCTGTATAAAATATGTATTAGAAATTACTATTGACTTACGTAGAAATTTTCACAAACAGAAAAAATTTATTAAAGTTTGTTGGAAACTGCTTACAACAAAAATGCCTTTGAATTGAGTTGAAAACTTAAAGAAAAAAAAATGAACTTAGATCAAACTTCTAACTTAAAAGGTAATTTTCGTTTTTTAAATAAAACATAATACAAAATACTATTGTAAATTTTATAATAAGATTTTAAAAAGCAAAGATGGTCAATACTCTGATCACTCAATCTGGTTCTTATTTTAGTAATGAAAAGTCCTGCTACCAAGAATGCCCTTTCTGATTCGATTGATGTGGGTGGAATTGTCTTTAATGCATTTAAGAGAAGACAGATGTTATGTGTTTTTTCAGTTGTAACCTAAGATTTCTGGTTTGTTTCCAAGATGCATTGCAGTACTTTTTTTGCTGTATAGTTTTCTTGACTTGTCTGCCTTGGCTGCTTTAATAGCAACATCGCGCTTATATCCCGATAATTCAGCAGTTCGTTTGACTTTAGTAATTGGGTTTATGAAAAAACTTCATACTTGCATACATTATACTCGTTTGTATCCTTACCCAATTTGCACAATCTGGCATAATGCAGTTATTGAAGCTACTGGGCATGGTTAAAAATTAAGACATCATCAGTGCAATTATTCAAGATATTACAGGTTCTGACAAGTAAAGAATTTTCAGTCCTTCCACAAATAGGCTACATATTATTTATTAACAATCTGTGATATGACGTAACAAGCAAAAATAGGCTTAAAATTAATAAATACAAATGTATTCTGACAGTGAATGAGTTAATTATACTTTCTATTTACAAAATTTCCTCAACCTTGACATGAAATAAGAAAAAAGTGAATTTTTAAGAAATTTGCAGGGTGAGAAGAATTTCCTGGGTTAAAAAAACAGCTGGAATCTCTGGAGAGATCCCAGCTGTTTTTTAACCCAGTTAGATCTCGTTAGAGAAACCCTAGTCTTAGAGAAACTCTCTCAGTCATATAGCTATCTGTTTTTTTATGACTTATTTCGATGTGCATAGTAACAATACATCTTTCATTTCAACTTTATCCCAAGATTGAAGCAGTCATAAAGTTTGACAATTTGTTTGTATGCATTTCTTCCAATTTCCTGTGATACAAAATAGGTTTTGTATGCCATTTGATATTAAAAGCTAGAGTTATTTTTGTGTTTAAAAAATTCAAAAAATAAAACAAAATTGATGTAAATAATATATATTTATTAAATTTTGTTGACAAGCAAGTTACACTTGTTCCTCCTCTGTTTATTAACTAGAACTGAAATATTTTGTTTAAACACATCCTATTATATTACAGTAATTTGTTTATCATATCATATATATATATATTTTTACTGTTCTTTAAGGGCTAGAACCAACTATACATTTTTCTGTAATGACAAGTTTCTATGTATTAACAGGACTTATTATACTGGGAAATTATGGATGCAGATATTTAGTCTTACAGTATTCTTTATTTAGTTCACCTGTAAGACTAAATATCTGCATCCATAATTTCCCAGTATAATAAGTCCTGTTAATACGTAGAAAGTAATAGTATACAAAATAAATTATAAATAGATAAAAAAAGGACAAAAAGGCATAATAATTAAACAGTATCTTTATTTTTACATAGAATTTTTGGGATCATATCTACTATGTAAAAGTAGAACTGGGTGTATCAAATTGTTACTATGTGTAGGGATTTTCTTTTCTGGAATACTTAATGAATCTATAAATATTCAATAAATTTTTATCAAAATACCTTAATGAAGAGCTAAGATGATTTTCTTTATAAATATTTGCACTTGTAGTTTCTAATAATTAGAAATTAATTTTTAATATTTTTAAATTAAAACTAAAGAATTTAATGAATCTTTTATGATATCTGTTTAAATAAAAATTAATGAACATTTTCAAAGTTTAGCAATTACAATAAAGTTTTGGTCTAAGTTTAATTTTATAATTGATGTTTACATTCATAATTCTTGAAATGATTATGAAAATATAAATATTTTTTATTACATTAATAATTTTATTTAGATTATTTGAATATAATTTCAGACATCCTGCTTGCAGTTTTTGTGTGATCATGAATTTAATTTTAATAAGGTTAGTTTCAGTATGTTAATTTGATTTTTTATTTTATTGTTGTTATAATTTTAATATTATTTTCAAATGATAAATTTATCTGTATTATTATATAATAAACACATATATTACATTTAATTGAAAGTTACATTTACAGTTTGCATTTGAAAGTATTCCATATTTAAATGAAGAAGAAGAAAAACAGTTACAAACTGACTTAAGTAATCAGTTACAACCTTTATTTAGGTATGTTAGAAATTAATTTTTGCTTTATTTTACAGAAGTAATACTGTATCTGAATGAATCAAATTTACCCTTTATGAAACAGGAAAAAAAATCATAATAATAATAAATTGAACTTTTCAAAATCAATTTTTAATGTAATATAAAAGTTTTAAATAGTAAATATACAAAACTATTTATTGTTTTATCAACTTGTACAATGTAACTAAAATTTTCAAATTCTGCCATTTTAATCTGTAAAATGATTATCAATGATGAAAACAGTTGCTAACATTTACTACAAGGAAGCCATAATTTGTAAAGATCACTAATATTGTAACATTTTAATAGCGAGGTTGAGGCCAAAGTTTTAAATGCGAAAACATGTATGTCGGACATTTAGCACCACTCTCCTGTAAGCTTAGAAGTTTGACAATGGTGTTTGGATAGTCAGTGGAATCATGCTCGGCATTCCAAACACCACTGTCAAACTTCTAGGCTTACAGGAGAGCGGTGTTAAACATCCGACATACAATGTTTTCGCATTTAAAACTTTGGCCTCAACCTTGCTATTAAGATAACCAATGTGAAATGCCTTTTAAATCATATAAGGAATTAGAAAAGTATTAATATTCAAATATTTAATAATAATTTTGAGAAAGTATAACATGTAATCTATAGATGGATATACGTGCTTGGAAAAATTTACTGATATACAGTGGTGCCTCATAATTTAATTCATTCCACGAAGCAATTTGAATTTTGAATTGTCTGAAGTCCAAAGCAATTTTTCCCATTAGAAATAATGTAAAGTGAATTAATCCATTCCCAAACTCTGAACAATAACTATTTTAATAAGTTATTTGATGAGTATTTGCTATTTTTAAGTTTAAGATAAAAATAACACAATTAAATTCTCAATAATAAATTAAAACACAAAAACAACAAATAAATATGTAAATACTGCATAATAAAATGAAAGTTACATTTACTGGTCACACGCTGTTGACTTTGGCATCTTAAATAAAACTACCAGATCCGTCAAACCTGTACCACTTTCATGTTTTGCAATAAGTTCCTTTTTCATCTTAATCATTGATATTCAAACCTTCCTCTTAGGCTTTGTTGCTTTTTAAGCATGTCTTATTAACCATGCCACATTTCTTGAATGCCATGGTTAATAAGTAAAGACTACATTTATTGGATTGAACAAAGTTTAATATCTATCTTACTTAATATTAATAAACCAAACAAACCTGATTTGTATTTGCCGAGTTATTTTCTTTATTCGAACGTTTTCGGCCAATTTGTATAGGCCATCTTCAGGCTTTAACGTTGTTCGTTCCAATGGAACCAATAGTTCAAAATTCATTTGAATTTGAACTTTTAACAACTTATGTGTATAAATAAATAGTTAACAATAATATCAAAAACGTGTTGCAACTTAACACTAACATGAAAAACGTAAATTAAAACTAAATATATGATAAAATGTAATCTAAAATCGCGTTGCAATTTAACAATGAAAAAACAAAAAAATTATATCAACTTTAACTGAGTCTGAATTACTAATTCCTAAAAACTCCAGATCATAAAAATGTTTATGGATTATTAAAACCCATACTTTTTTCAATTTTATATTTCCAAGCCATTGGTAATGCTTTTGCATCTTTTGCATTTAGGCATCTGTCCCTCATCTTACTTTTGTAAATTTCTATTTTTTCCATTTCCATTGCGATGGAAGGTGAGTGCCCCGTCCTAACAATCTTGACTTCATCCCATTTGACTACTGCTCCGTCTGACTGTGCCATACTTGCTAATATCGTGCTATTGAGTCTTTTATTTATACTATATTTGTGCTCCTTTACTCGTACTTTAAGGTTTCTTCTGGTCACTCCTATATACTCTTTCTCAATACCTAATTGCTGGTTCTCAAAGGGGATACTGTACACACCCGGTTGCTCTTTCAATTTAAATTTGTCCTTGTCGTTTCTTAATTATCTATAAATATTGGGTGCTCGTTTATAGATTATCTTTGCGTTTTTGTATTTTCCTAACTCCTTCACCACCTTCCTTGTTTGTTCATTGTATGTGAACTTATTGAATGTAGTATTGTTGTTATGTTTTGCATTTGTAGCTTTTTGTTTACCATAGCTCTTTACAAGGCCTGTGATTGTGGACTTTCTGTATCCTAAACTCCTTGCTACCTGTTGAATTCTATCAGTTTCTTTATTCTGGTCTTGTACATTGGTGCAGTACAAGAAGGCCCTTTTGATCAGTGCCTTAAACGCAAATAAGTTCACATACAATGAACAAACAAGGAAGGTGGTGAAGGAGTTAGGAAAATACAAAAACGCAAAGATAATCTATAAACGAGCACCCAATATTTATAGATAATTAAGAAACGACAAGGACAAATTTAAATTGAAAGAGCAACCGGGTGTGTACAGTATCCCCTTTGAGAACCAGCAATTAGGTATTGAGAAAGAGTATATAGGAGTGACCAGAAGAAACCTTAAAGTACGAGTAAAGGAGCACAAATATAGTATAAATAAAAGACTCAATAGCACGATATTAGCAAGTATGGCACAGTCAGACGGAGCAGTAGTCAAATGGGATGAAGTCAAGATTGTTAGGACGGGGCACTCACCTTCCATCGCAATGGAAATGGAAAAAATAGAAATTTACAAAAGTAAGATGAGGGACAGATGCCTAAATGCAAAAGATGCAAAAGCATTACCAATGGCTTGGAAATATAAAATTGAAAAAAGTATGGGTTTTAATAATCCATAAACATTTTTATGATCTGGAGTTTTTAGGAATTAGTAGTTCAGACTCAGTTAAAGTTGATATAATTTTTTTGTTTTTTCATTGTTAAATTGCAACGCGATTTTAGATTACATTTTATCATATATTTAGTTTTAATTTACGTTTTTCATGTTAGTGTTAAGTTGCAACACGTTTTTGATATTATTGTTAACTATTTATTTATACACATAAGTTGTTAAAAGTTCAAATTCAAATGAATTTTGAACTATTGGTTCCATTGGAACGAACAACGTTAAAGCCTGAAGATGGCCTATACAAATTGGCCGAAAAGATTCGAATAAAGAAAATAATGCGGCAAATACAAATCAGGTATGTTTGGTTTATTAATATAAATAGCTAATATTGCTGAGAAGATAGATAGATAATATCTTACTTAATGTAAATGCATGATTTAATTATAACAGTTGTGAAATTTAACACATTGTTGCTAATTTGAGAATGTATTCTTTGTTCAGCTTATTTTATGCTTTGAGTACATTTTTCACTGCATGCACAATTTGAACTTTAAAGCATCATTGAAACTCTGAAGAATACAACAAAGAGTCATTCAAAGAGGTACTACTGTACTGTGTAAAGCTAACAGCAATTTTTTAAAATCAAAACTAAATCTTTTAAATAATTGTTTAATATGAATTTTATTAATGCAAATTGATATCATTTGTGCATAGAAAGAAATATTTTAAAATGGCTTTAATGATTCTTTTAAGATCTTTTATAAATTACTATAAAATAAAGTTTTGAACAGAGTAGTGAGAGAATGCAGTATAAAATTGGTATAATGCAAGTACTGATTTTTATTTTGTCTTGGAATTTCACATAACACTTTTATTAAAAAGTGAAAATACCTCTATTATACTAATTTTTATTTTAACTATTTTAACATATTTTATCTATATTTTAACATATAGATATTATAACAGAATAAAGATTTAAATAAAGCATTATTTAAAATAATGCTTTATTTAAATCTTTATTCTGTTATATTATCTATAATGTAACCTCAGTCTATGAGTACTGTACTTGATATCTTGTATATGAGAATTTAATGCAATGAGCTATTTTCTCTTATTGCTCTTCTCAATTTATGAGATGATATATTTGATATGAGTGCAGAATGATATTTTGAGAAAATATTCTAATCATGAATTTGATGAGATCCAAATTTCCTCAAATATGCTATGTTAGATGCTTGTAGGTTTTATTTTTGTGTGTTTTGTTAATATTGATATTCATTTGCTAGGGGGTAGTACTATTTCTTCCAATGAAGCTGAACATTTTAATGAACTTTATCAGTACATTACCATTAATTACAATTACTAATAATGTACAGATCTTTTTATTAGTAGTTACAATTTTTTCAATTAAAAAGTTTTATTTTACTTGTTTTCTTTCCATTTAAATAAATAAAGTCTATCAACTTACATGTTTGCTTCTCTTATTTCATAACTTTTTATATTGGAGAAAAACTTAAAATAAATTAAAATAAGAAAGTGTTATTTAGAAATCCGTGGTTGATAGGAAATAGGTATTTTACAGTAATTTAATCTTATTTGAGGAATATGATTAGATTGACCAAGCTATATTAGAACAAGATGCAAATTTAAATCATAAGAAATAATGGAAAAGCTTCTCTCACTTCACTAGAGGTATTCAAGAATGAGATAAACTTGTAAATTGGGGTTACATTACATTAAATTATTAGAAATAAAATGTTTATGNAAAAATACTAAAATATTGTATAAAATAGAAAATTGTTTAGAAAGGAAAATTGTCGAACATTTTTGCATCACTGCATATACAAATGTACTTAATTTAAAAACCGGGATGAGTGTCGATGCATGCTGGGAAAGGTTGCTGGATATAAAAAATGACTAAAGATTGCTGTCTTGATGTATATCCACTGAGGAGGACTACTGGAAAGGCGAAATGCATTTGGAGTTTGTCAATTATAAAGTCACTGGTAATATGAAAGTTTAATTTATTTCTTGTCACTTGTTTGCCTTTGTTGACCTGTAAAATCCTCGAAGTCAGAAGTAGATAGAGTATATTTTTTACTTGGTTTTAACTGAAAATAATTTGTTTTTTAGTGATTACTAAAATAATATTCGAAAAGAAAAATATCTGTCCTTACATGTAATGACTTTAACAACAAAAAAAAAATACATTTCACAGTATAATTTGAAAATGTAATGATG